GGACTAGGACCAAACTAGGACTAGCTAGTTCTGAAAGTGATTGAATTTCAATGTACAATGGTCTATTGGACAGAAAATAGTTTGTACCATTTAATTTGACATAAACAGTCAATATTTAAGTTCGAATCTAAATCGCAATTTTGGCTGGAGTATGTCCTTCTTAAGCTGCATTGAATTTCAATCAGAAATAAGGTTGAATTTGATAAAACATACTAAGTGGAATGCATAAGGAACGAATCCAAAGGTCCCAAACTTGTGTCTTTCACTAGTCCTAACACTACCTTGGTCAGAAAACACCGTAAAACACAGTGTTGTGTAGCGTTTTTCATACTCAATTCACATCTCCACCAACGAACGCTCTCTAAATGCTCATTTGAACTTGAACAGGATTTAATTGGGACTCAATACGGAAATATTTGGTCAGAATCCTAATAGTAATCAAATTTGAGATTGCGAGTTTAAATAGAGTTCCTTTTCCAATATATACTTGCAATTCAATATGAGCTTTAACAGGATTTGATAAGGAAAGAACCCATATTCTCCAGACAAGTCTTCTTTGCAAACGCGAGTCCAGGCCCGAGTGAAACCCATTGAGACCGACTGAAATTTCAGTTGAGCCTGGGTTCAAGATTCCCTAGAAAACTTTGACCTGCAATCTTGAATGCGGGCCTAGATTGAAACAGATTGAATGAATAATCAGAACTCGGATGCTTGCACAACACTGTGCCAAAGTACAGCCGCGCAAAGTGCAATGTTGAATTTGGGTCTCGATTTAAGCCGATTTAAATCGATTTAAGTTTAAATCGGGCATGGATTCAAGATTCAAGATTCAAGAATCCAGGCCAAACTTTTCCAGGGATTCTTGAACCCAGGCGTCGATTTAAACCGATTTAAACCGATTTAACTTAAATCGGGCATGGATTCAATATTCAAGACTCCCTGGAAAAGTTTGGCCTGGATTCTTGAATCTTGAATCTTGAATCCATGCCCGATTTAAGTTAAATCGGTTTAAATCGGTTTAAATCGACGCTTGGATTCAAGAATCCCTGGAAAAGTTTGGCCTGGATTCTTGAATCTTGAATCTTGAATCCATGCCCGATTTAAACTTAAATCGATTTAAATCGGTTTAAATCGGTTTCAATCAAGCCTGAAGCTTCCAGAACGTCCTTGGAAATGCTTCTTTTTCATTGCTCTCCCCAAAGCCCAAAAAAGGGTAGAAAACACTGCAAATACCAGTGAATTCATCAAAAAGGTAGGTCCCTGGGGGGGGGGGTACAAAAAAGGTAGAAAACACTGCAAATACCAGTGAATTCATCAAAAAGGTAGGTCCCTGGGGGGGGGGTACCATATATATATATATACACATATTACATGGTACCCCGCTAGGGCTCTCACGTTTATGCCTCAGTCCCTGCATCTTGAGTTCCACTTGGGTCAGCATCAGCGATACATATGATTTGTTCGATATGCTAAAAGCAGGAAAGATGGCCTCACGGAAATCCAGGATCTGCAGAAACGGCATGTGCATCCGTAAAGTTTGTTTGCGTCCGCGAGGCCTGGGCCTAGGCGCCTCCAACCTGGCGGGGCTCGTAGCGCTGAACGCATCTGTGGGCCCAAGCCGGCGCGCCACCATGGTGGGCCTGGCCACCTGCGGCCTGGCGAGGATTTCCTTGTGCATTGCGCCCGACACGTTGCAAGGGAACAAGGAAAGCCTTGTGCTTTCCATACTTTTGTGATGGGCGCAAGTTTGATGCAGCCCTGACTTGAGGCATGTGCGTCACGCGTTATGAGTTTGGCTCCAAGCTGTCGACAGGGATCAGTTGAGAAGGGGGGCCAAACAAAGGTGAGAAGAACATGTGTTTGGAAGTTGGCGAAGCAAGTGCTCGCTTGATTTTTTTGGGAGTGCAGCTCGTCCCCGTTTTGCATGGTTTGCAAGTGCTGCAGATTGCCATTGTTTGAAGCCATCGCTCAACAAAGTAGCCAGGAATCCTGACCATGTTAGCTTGTTGCCACGCTTTTGTAGGTGCTGACGTTGGGCAGCAAAAGAAGGCAACCTTCAAGTGCTTGCAGCAAAGGCGGCACTAGTGTCGGCACGATCCTGCTGCCGCAGTTCTACAACCTGCTTGCAGGCAAGGGCCTTCCTTTCACACCCACCCAAATGCTTTGCAAGGTCAATCTGATTGCCTGCTAGCTTCAAATGGAGGGGATGCGATTGGCAACCTCCTGGCCATTTAGATTGGCAGATGAGACGCCATCATTTCTTTGGAGAAGCCTCGACCCATGTGCAATCTGCAGTACAGGTTGCCCGAAGTGGCCTTCAATCAACCCTAATTTCGAGAGCACCTCCCCTGTGAGAGTCCCATCAACAAATTGACTCACCACGCCATGAGCGCGCCCACGTTGCTTCGCCCACAATTACACAAGACACTGTGTCTCTCTTTTTTTGTGCTTATCATGGCCAGGCGATCTTGAGGTGGCAAATTATTGGAATTCTTAATGTTCCATTTTCCTTAGACACATTTCCCATTGCGCACAATTTCCCATTTGCTTTACGCACGCCAAGCCGGGGGAAAACACTTCCGCGAGGCTCCCTGGGCTGGCGCTGGGCCATGCGCATCAACGCCGCAGCCTCCTGTGGTTTTCTCCTGGCCGCGGCGCCTTTCTTCTGGGTGGCGCCTGCAAAGGCGCGAACATGTCCGCTGAAAGCAACCGCAGATGTTGTGTTTATTTTGTTTTTCTTCAGGAGGCTTGGGACCTGGAGCAATTAGTTCCGAAAGTTAGGCACCACTTGAAAAGACACTTGTTTTGTTAGGACTGTTAGGTTGTCCTTTTGGCACCAACCAAACGGGTTCCAGGTTTCTCAATGAATGAACCTCATTTGATGGGCAGTCTGAGTTTGAGGATGGTAAACACCAGCCATCAGCAGCCCTGTGTCTGTGAGCAGTTTGCGCCCGATACAATCTGAAGCTTGCACTACATTGTCGCTCAGACCTGCAGGGGTGTCCTTTTGTCCCTTTTTTTGTCTTTTTCTTTTTTTCTCGGGGGGGGGGCTTCGCAGGAAAGGGACAGCTCTGTTGCACATGGGCACGAGTCCAGAGCTCAGGGCTTATTGCTTGCGTCTTTTTGTTGATAAGTCACTCGCTGATCTTTTCCGCTTGGATGCCAAGCAGAAGCACCACGGATGTCGGTGCAGTAAACGGCCATGTGGGCGGACCTGCCATTGTATTAGTTTCCAAATCTGTGAAAGTCGCCTGGTTAGACCATTGCGATCTGCGCCTTTCTAGATGCGAAAACAAACTTATGGTGTCGTTTGTGGCCGAATCAGACCATGACAGTTGCAAGAATGATATCTTAATCTTTTGGTTGTCAAATCCGACCATTGTCGAATGCGACTGTTTCCGGATATTCCGGATAAAGCCAGGCCGGGTATGCATTAGCACCCGTACCGCAGGCCAGCACCGAGTCAAAGAACTCACTTCCAGCGATCGCCTCAGACTCGCATCAGCCACACCTGCATTGACAAGTGTGTATAAATGTTGATGCACCGACAGCTAAGTTGTGCAGCTGACTAGTTTCAGTGATGCGATTTTGTGTGGTCCTGACAACATCAATGCCATGTGGCAAGGCTTCCACAGGATCCCCACCTTACCCAATTGACAAACCCCTTGTCAGGGGTTCCATGAAGCCAAAGCCTCAATATGATGGCAAAAGCGCCAAGTCCACGCTGAGGGCATGACCACGGGGAACCCTGATGATTCTAGCTGTTGACCTGTTTGTGGAGAGAAAGAAGGTCGCCCAGCTAGCTGTCCCAGCAAGGAATGGATTGCAAAGGGGAACCATCGATGACGTTTGCAATGAATGGATGACTTGCACTGTAGTCTTGTACAGGGGTGAGTCAAAAACTGAATGCTCATTGTCTTCTTGATGAACGCAGCTGGCCCCGTGGCAAGTCCCTGATTCGCCAAGAGCACCACTGTTTGGGTACGGCTGAAAACGCTCCCGCCAACAGGAAAACCACCAGCCACAAAGGTATGGTTTGTCGATGTTTGATCAAACGGGGACAATGTTGATCAGCCTTGTGGACTCCAGTATATCAAACAGCAAGCTCCCAATGTAGAAACTTAAAGATGGTGGCTCCTAAAAGACGTCTCCCTTTATCTACCAGCGTCACTGGTCAACTTGGATTGACTGCGGGTTCCGCTGAGGCTGCAGCTGCCCAGGCGGTTCCGGTTGCCCAAACGCGGGCCAGGCGCTGCCAGCCTCTCAGGGACCCACGCTTTCTTTGCTGGTGGCTGGACATGGCAGTTTGCCACCAGGACGCAGACAGTCGATGTCCATAGCTTTGAAGCTCGAGTCATGGGTCATTGCTGTGGTATGTTTGCACGACTCCCTATTTGAATCTCGAGTCATGGGTCATTGCTGTGGTATGTTTGCACGACTCCCTATTTTCATGGGATTGCACAGACGATCTAGGGCAGTTGATGAGAACCTCCTGCCGGCATGCGCCCACACAGCCATGTTGTTTACTCTTCCAAACCAGTAATCATAGTTTTTTTTTTTTTTTTTCCGATTCCAACTGGTGGACCTTTTGGCTCCTTGGCTGCCTAGTTGATTCTGTCACACAGCTTTAGAAGCCCGGCTTGCCCTCCACTTGCACTTGGGCACTGAAGTGCTTACAACCACAGCACCATTGTGTCGTGCCATATAATTCAAACCACCAGAAATAGCGCAGAGTCAGAGGGCTTTGTGCTATTTATCAAGTGGTGCTGCGTTGTTGTTGATGATGACGGTGATGATGGATGCTATTCCAAATTTCCAATGTTCCCGCATCCCTTGAAGGGTACCTACCAAACACGAGGTAAGTGTAGAACCCTTGGGACCAGCTGGTAAAGGAGTTTGCTTAATTTAGCCAACATGTATCCTCTAAGGAACCCTGCTTTCCAAGGCCTTCGAAGCTCGGGAAGCGTTTGTCTTAACATGGGAGAATCCCCGAAACAGTGGTTTCCCTTTCCCCCTCTGCAAGCAACCCCGAAAAAGGGTACTCAAAAGACTCACCCGGAAGCCCGCAAGTCCGAGGCTTCTTCGGGTACTTTGGGCCCTCAGTGCTGCTGGCGGAGTTCGCGCGCACGGAGCTGCAGTTGGCGCCGGAGGATGCGGCCAACTGCTACACGTTGCTCGGCGCCTCGGTGCGATCCAAGACCAAGCCAGCGTTGATGAAAGTAAACTAGACCACGGTTGGCCCGAAAGCAGAACATCGCAAGCGAGGTCGGCCCAACGCTGCAGGATGCGTTCTTTTTCCCTACAGGAAGCATTTGTGAAGCAAGCGCGAGACAGCACCAGGCAAGGTGCTCTGCGCAAACTGGTCGGTGCAAGTTGGTCTGCGCAAGTTGCTCTACGCAAGTTGCACTGTGCAAGTTGCTCTGCGCAAGTTGCTCCGCGCAAGTTGCTCCGGCAAGTTGGTCCCTGCAAGTGGCTCCCTGCAAGTTGCTCTGTGCAAATTGCGCTCCCTGCAAGTTGCTCTGTGCAAGCTGCTCTGTGCAAGTTGCTCTGTGCAAGTTGCTCTGCGTAAGTTGCTCTGCGCAAGTTGCTCTAGGCAAGGCGCTCTGCGCAAACTGGTCGGTGCAAGTTGGTCTGCGCAAGTTGCTCTGTGCAACTTGCTCTTGCGCAAGTTGCTCTGCGCAAGTTGCTTTTAAAATGCAAGTTGCATCTTGCGACGCCCGCCCGCGGACCAGGGAGGAATCGAACCCGCGACCCGCCGGTTCCGGGAGCAGGCGCGCGAACCACGAGACAACTCCCGAGGACCAGTCTTCGAAACAACAAAAGTCGCACAAAAAAAAAACCATGGGTTTTTGCACCTCGACCACTCCGATCCCCGCAGAGGGTCGCGCGGAGAAGGTTAGAAATCGCAAAAAACCATGGGTTTTTGCACCTCGACCACGCCGATCCCCGCAGAGGGTCGCGCGAGCAGCGCAGAAATCGCAAAAAAAACCATGGGTTTTTGCACCTCGACCACGCCGATCCCCGCAGAGGGTCGCGCGAGCAGGTTAGAAATCGCAAAAAACCATGGGTTTTTGCACCTCGACCACGCCGATCCCCGCAGAGGGTCGCGCGAGACCTTTAGAAATCGCAAAAAACCATGGGTTTTTGCACCTCGACCACGCCGATCCCCGCAGAGGGTCGCGCGAGCAGCGCAGAAATCGCAAAAAAAGTTTTTGCACCTCGACCACGCCGATCCCCGCAGAGGGTTGCGCGAGCAGGGCGAAATCGCAAAAAACCTTTTTGCACCTCGACCACGCCGATCCCCGCAGAGGGTCGATTTTCGTGTAGTGTCGTCGGCACTACCCCGCCGCCCTAAGAAGAGATTTTAACTCCTCGCAAGTCAATTGCACTTGACTCCTTGCACTTGCAACTTGCACTTGACTCCTTGCTTGTTTCAAGGAGTCATTGCAAGGAGTCATTGCAAGGAGTCATTGCAAAGAGTCATTGCAAGGAGTCATGGCAAGAATTCATTGCAAGCAGTCATTGCAAGGAGTCATTGCAAGGAGTCATTGCAAGGAGTCATTGCAAGGAGTCATTGCAAGGAGTCATGAGAGCCATTGCAAGTTGCAAGGAGCCAAGTGCATGGAGTCAAGTGCAAGTCGCAAGTGCACGGAGTTAAGTGCAAGTTGCAAGTGCAAGGGGCCAAGTGCAAGGAGCCAAGTGCAAGGAGCCAAGTGCATGGAGTCAAGTGCAAGTTGCAAGTGTGCAAGTGCAAGGCAAGTGCAAGTCAAGTGCAATGTGCAAGGAGTCAAGTGCAAGTTGCAATGACTCCTTGCAATGACTCCTTGCATGACTCCTTGCAATGACTCCTTGCAATGACTCCTTGCATGACTCCTGCCATGACTCCTTGCAATGACTCCTTGCAATGACTCCTTGCAATGACTCCTTGCAATGACTCCTTGCAATGACTCCTTGCAATGACTCCTTGCAATGACTCCTTGCAATGACTCCTTGCAATGACTCCTTGCAATGACTCCTTGCAATGACTCCTTGCAATGACTCCTTGCAATGACTCCTTGCAATGACTTTCATGATGATGATTCCTTGCAATGACACCTTGTAATGACTCTCATGAGAACAACTCAAGTGAACCCAGCGGACGAACCCTTCGCCATGCTTTCGGGAAAAACACAAGACTGCGCAGCTTTGGAGCCGACCTGGCCACACAGCTGCTCCACGACAGCGGCAGCTAGGTCTGCCTTGGTCACTTTGCCGCCTGCGACCCGTTGGCGCACATCCAGCTGTCGAGCGAGCGCGCAAAGTTGGGGTTGGGCTTTGGCCGCCACCTCTTGCTGGAGCCACGCCTTGCCCTTCTCCGCCAAACCAGCGCGAAGCGTGGCCACGACAAGCTCTGCCTCATCCTGCCATGTCCATGAGATGAGGCAACCGTCCGTAAGAAGCACGACATGGTGCCATCTGGTGCTTACATCTCGGCCATCCGCAAAACATCATCAAAAACAAAAGCGTCAAACACCGACTACGACCAGGTCGAGACACCGGCGTTGGCGAAGCCGCAGAACTGCTTGGCTCCTGGCAGCAATCAGCACAGCAAAGCAAACACCAGCAAAACTCTTCGATCCTGGCCTGTGGGCACAGCTTCTCCACGACAGCGGCAGCTAGGTCTGCCTGGGTCACGCTGCTGCCTGCGACACATCGGCGCACATCCAGCCGTCGGGCGAGTGCGCGAAGTTGGGGTTGGGCTTTGGCCGCCACCTCTTGCTGGAGCCACGCCTTCTGCACTTCTCCGACAAACCAGCACGAAGCGTGGCCACGACAAGCTCTACCTCATCCTGCCATGTCCAATGAGATGAGGCAACCGTCCGTAAGAAACACGACATGGTGCCATCTGGTGCTTACATTTCGGCCATCCGCAAAACATCATCAAAAACAATAGCGTCAAACACCGACTACGACCAGGTCGAGACACCGGCGTCGGCGAAGCCGCAGAACTGCTTGGCTCCTGGCAACAATCAGCACAGCAAAACAAACACCAGCAAAACTCTCCAGATTTCGACCCTGGCCTGTGGGCACAGCTTCTCCACGACAGCGGCAGCTAGGTCTGCCTTGGTCACGTTGCTGCCTGCGACCCGTTGGCGCACATCCAGCCGTCGGGCGAGCGCGCGAAGTTGAAGTTGGGCTTTGGCCGCCACCTCTTGCTGGAGCCACGCCTTGCCCTTCTCCGCCAAACCAGCACGAAGCGTGGCCACGACAAGCTCTGCCTCATCCTGCCATGTCCATGAGATGAGGCAACCGTCCGTAAGAAACACGACATGGTGCCATCTGGTGCTTACATTTCGGCCATCCGCAAAACATCATCAAAAACAATAGCGTCAAACACCGACTACGACCAAGTCGAGACACCGGCGTCGGCGAAGCCGCAGAACTGCTTGGCTCCTGGCAACAATCAGCACAGCAAAACAAACACCAGCAAAACTCTCCAGATTTCGATCCTGGCCTGTGGGCACAGCTTCTCCACGACAGCGGCAGCTAGGTCTGCCTTGGTCACGTTGCTGCCTGCGACCCATTGGCGCACATCCAGCTGTCGGGCGAGTGCGCGAAGTTGGGGTTGGGCTTTGGCCGCCACCTCTTGCTGGAGCCACGCCTTGCCCTTCTCCGACAAACCAGCACGAAGCGTGGCCACGACAAGCTCTGCCTCATCCTGCCATGTCCATGAGATGAGGCAACCGTCCGTAAGAAACACGACATGGTGCCATCTGGTGCTTACATCTCGGCCATCCGCAAAACAACATCAAAAACAATAGCGTCAAACACCGACTACGACCAAGTCGAGACACCGGCGTCGGCGAAGCCGCAGAACTGCTCGGCTCCTGGCAACAATCAGCACAGCAAAACAAACACCAGCAAAACTCTCCAGATTTCGATCCTGGCCTGTGGGCACAGCTTCTCCACGACAGCGGCAGCTAGGTCTGCCTTGGTCACGTTGCTGCCTGCGACCCATTGGCGCACATCCAGCTGTCGGGCGAGTGCGCGAAGTTGGGGTTGGGCTTTGGCCGCCACCTCTTGCTGCAGCCACGCTTTGCCATGCTGGGCCGCACCAGCCTGAAGCCTAGCTACTTCGAGCTCCATGACTTCTGTTTGAGCCAAATCTCGATGATCATCCGCAAGATGCCACATAACAACCAGCCGTGTGCGCCATGCCCGTAAATAAGCCGTGTGCGCCATGCTCCCCGCAACTTCTTTCATGATGAGAACTCCTTGCGTCAAACTCCTACAGGGTGAGTGGCCTGAAAGCATAACTCCCCACGATGTGCGGCAAACTTGTTTAACCCCGGCCTGGCACATGCGCAAGTTGCTCTGCGCAAGTTGCTTTGCGCAAGTTGCTCTGTGCGAGTTGCAGTGTGTGCAAGTTGGCGCGAGACAGCACCAGGCAAGGTGCTCTGCGCAAACTGGTCGGTGCAAGTTGGTCTGCGCAAGTTGCTCTACGCAAGTTGCACTGTGCAAGTTGCTCTGCGCAAGTTGCTCCGCGCAAGTTGCTCCGGCAAGTTGGTCCCTGCAAGTGGCTCCCTGCAAGTTGCTCTGTGCAAATTGCGCTCCCTGCAAGTTGCTCTGTGCAAGCTGCTCTGTGCAAGTTGCTCTGTGCAAGTTGCTCTGCGTAAGTTGCTCTGCGCAAGTTGCTCTAGGCAAGGCGCTCTGCGCAAACTGGTCGGTGCAAGTTGGTCTGCGCAAGTTGCTCTGTGCAACTTGCTCTGCGCAAGTTGCTCTGCGCAAGTTGCTGTAAAATGCAAGTTGCATCTTGCGACGCCCGCCCGCGGACCAGGGAGGAATCGAACCCGCGACCCGCCGGTTCCGGGAGCAGGCGCGCGAACCACGAGACAACTCCCGAGGACCAGTTCGAACAACAAAAGTCGCAAAAAACCTCGAGTTTTTGCACCTCGACCACGCCGATCCCCGCAGAGGGTCGCGCGAGCAGGTTAGAAATCGCAAAAAACCATGGGTTTTTGCACCTCGACCACGCCGATCCCCGCAGAGGGTCGCGCGAGCACCGCAGAAATCGCAAAAAACCATGGGTTTTTGCACCTCGACCACGCCGATCCCCGCAGAGGGTCGCGCGAGCAGGTTAGAAATCGCAAAAAACCATGGGTTTTTGCACCTCGACCACGCCGATCCCCGCAGAGGGTCGCGCGAGCACCGCAGAAATCGCAAAAAACCATGGGTTTTTGCACCTCGACCACGCCGATCCCCGCAGAGGGTCGCGCGAGCAGCGCAGAAATCGCAAAAAACCATGGGTTTTTGCACCTCGACCACGCCGATCCCCGCAGAGGGTCGCGCGGGAACTTTAGAAATCGCAAAAAACCATGGGTTTTTGCACCTCGACCACGCCGATCCCCGCAGAGGGTCGATTTTCGTGTAGTGTCGTCGGCACTACCCCGCCGCCCTAAGAAGAGATTTTAACTCCTCGCAAGTCAATTGCACTTGACTCCTTGCACTTGCAACTTGCACTTGACTCCACACTTGCAACTTGCACTGACTCCTTGCACTTGCAACTTGCACTTTGCACTTCCTTGCACTTGCAACTTGCACTTGACTTGCACTTGCACTGACTCCATGCGCATGCTCCTTGCAATGCAATGACTCTTGCAATGACTCCTTGCAATGACTCCTTGCAATGACTCCTTGCAATGACTCCTTGCAATGACTCCTTGCAATGACTCCTTGCAATGACTCCTTGCAATGACTCCTTGCAATGACTCCTTGCAATGACTCCTTGCAATGACTCCTTGCAATGACTCCTTGCAATGACTCCTTGCAATGACTCCTTGCAATGACTCCTTGCAATGACTCCTTGCAATGACTCCTTGCAATGACTCCTTGCAATGACTCCTTGCAATGACTCCTTGCAATGACTCCTTGCAATGACTCCTTGCAATGACTCCTTGCAATGACTCCTTGCAATGACTCCTTGCAATGACTCCTTGCAATGACTCCTTGCAATGACTCCTTGCATTGACTTTCATGATGATGATTCCTTGCAATGACACCTTGTAATGACTCTCATGAGAACAACTCAAGTGAACCCAGCGGAAGAACCCTTCGCCATGCTTTCGGGAAAAATGGGCCCGGCGGCCCATTATTTTGGAATCATGTTGCAGACTCGTTTATTGGTGACAAATCGTGAATCGATGACATTTACACCTCATGCAGACAACACACCCAATGAAATGCCCGGTTTAGACCAGCATTTGCGGTCCCGGGCATGTGGCACACATGACCCACCATGTTCTCAGGACCAAAGAGGCAAGTTAGTGGTACTGTGTCTTGTGTCTTGAACACCTGGCAATAGTCTTTGCGAACAACCCAAGCCTTCCACATAGCGGCTCATTCATCAACAAAGCCAATCAAATCCTAGTTGAGCAGGAATCGCCTGTTCAAGGACGCACCACAACGACTCTGTTGTATTGGGGGCATACTTCGTCCTCTGCCGAAGAATGTTGAAACTGCCAGAACCCGGATGGGAGTGCACAAGCACGAACGGACGGGGGTGGCGCTGTGTGCCCCCAAAAAGGTGGGGTGGGAACACAAGGAACAACAGAATTCCCAACAACGAATTTATCTGGGTTGCAATCTCTTTTGCCGGGGAGAGGGGTGCGTTGGAGGGGTCATTGTATGTGCTGAAATGCGGACTGAATGTGAGTAGCCCCACGGGTGCTTGCCCTGGACCTTGTCTGCCCTGGGCCTCAAAATTACAGCTTGAACTGGTTGGGAGCTGGCTTCAAGTGCAGCTGTTAAGTTGTTGCAGCTAAGTCCCTGAAGGTGGCAAGGGTTTTCAGATTTCCTTTAAGCGACCATTTAGCTCGGTAATTTCTTTAATACTAAAATGAAGCCCAGTTGGAGCTGCATCCGCAGGGGTCTCCGCGCTCCTTACCCGGCTGTGCCTGGGGTTCATCACCCACGCCTGTGGAGGTCCCAGCAGCCTGGCAGACGTATGGATAATCTCAAAATGGACCTCCGGTCGGCATTTAAGGGGAAAAGGACGCCAACCATAGGGCGCACACGTTTTGAGAGATCTCCAGTAGCAATTTATTGTATATGCGGCGCGCTGCCTGCCTCGGCCAGTCCCAAAAGAAGCGCAAGAGCAATGCGGACTTGAGCAAGTGACCGGGGCTGGGCTGAGCGGTCTGGTCGGCTGCAGGGGGAAGTGATTGCCAGCAACTTGAACTCGAGCGGCAGGGGCTGGCCAACAAGGTGGCTGGAATGAGCTGGGCTGGGCATGGCAGGCTCAGGAGCTATAGGGGGCTGGGCTGGCCTTTGTCGCGGGGCTGGGGACTGGCGCTGCAAGCAGGCTCGAGCTGGGGCTGGAAGCTGGGGGCAGGCCGGCTTGGGGCTGAGGGCGGCAGAGCTGACTTGGAAGCCCAAATTAGAAGCACATTTTCGGCCCCCGCGAGTTTGATTTGGGGACGAAACTGATGGACCTATCAACGTCAGAACTCGGAAGGGGGAAGTTGCTTGGGTCTGGTCACCTGTTCTGCTTGGCTTCGGATTGTATTGCAGCTCTGACCCGCAATGTGGCAAAGCACGCTATGTGCGTGAAGGAGATACTGCATAGTAGGCTTACGGCTTACATGTCTCACACATGCAGCTGACGCGTACAATGTGCGACGTACGCCCGTGCACATTGCTTTTGGGACTTTCGGCCAGAAGACTTTTCCGGCAGGCCGCCGCGACAAAACAGACCTCAGGACGCGTCCATTTTGCCTCGCAAATCCTGGCGGGGGCCATGACCTGCTTAATGCCATTCTGCTGGCACCTTGGCAACCTTTGGCCGTGCTGTTCCCCAAAGGGAGACCCCTGTGCAATTCTAACAGTTTCTGAAGGTCCCCTTCTGAAACAGTAGGGTTTGTTTTTGAACAATTGATAGTTGATCAATGTCCCACCTGGCTGATGACAAGCGGTGCATCTGGAGAAATTAAGGGGCTTGAGAGGGGTGACGTCCCGTTTGGCCGCGCTACACCAGATGTTCATTGAACCCAGCATTGGGTTGCAGTTTGCTTGGTTACTGGTTTGGTGCTACGTGGTTGCGTCTTGAAGTCATGGTTTGGTATTGGCGAACCCTTCGCCGGAAAGAGTTGTCGTAGGTAGCTACTTGTGAGTCAACTCTGCGATGTTGTCCAGAATTGGAACATGCAAGCCGGAACGTTTGCTGGTTTGTAGATGAATCGCAGGTATGCAAACGCTTAAGGCAAAGATACTGAGCCCGAAAGCTGGGTGTTGCATTTTCGTTGTCCACCGCTCGCCAACCAGGGGTGCACATTTGTTGAACCCAATTGCAAAAATAGCGCAACGCTAACGTATTGTCCAGCCAAATAGACCCATCCTAGAAAACTCTGACCAACTCCACAAATCAATGGCAGGATGGTGGCAGACTTGCGTTCAACCTATGTTTCACTGCTCTAGTCCCACTTGCTGCAAGACCACGTTTGGGCTGGTTTACTGAAGGGTGTTGCTGCTGCGTTGACAGCAGGTGAATTGCGTTTTGCTTGTTCAGCGCAAGAAGCTTTGCGTAGACAGGCTCTAGAGACTCTAGATTGATTTTCCGTGCAAAGCTTGATTAGTTTGGAACATGCTACACAAACTCCGCCCGGCCTATGCACGAGCCGGAAGGCCGATTCCCTGACTTTAACATGTCATCTATGGTGTCCATGTTCGATTTGCAAATAAGCTCCTGGGCCTGAAATGTCCAGGAACTTTGAATCGCTGCTCGTTTGGAGCGTGCTTTACGGCCACTTGGCGGATTCAAAGGGGCATTTATGCACAAGGCTCACTTGGCATAGCTTGATAACAGGCGCCAGCACAACAGATTGTGATGATGATTTGCGTATCAGGCTGCTGGATTTGGGCTCCATTCATGATCCATGTTTTCTTGCAGCACATGTTTGGCCTAGTGGCAGTTGCTGGGGTGGAGTGTCTCACTCGCTGAGTTTCAGAACTTTATGGTTCTTGGCAAGACCATTTTAGCGATCTAAAATCTTCAGACTTTGTTTGGCCAGTCCACTCAGAAAGAAAAAAGGTGTGGATCATGCTGGCAGTCATCCCGCCCAGGTTTCAGCATTGGCCCCGTGATCGCCCTGATCAGCGTGGTGCTGAGTGAGTTGTTCGGTACTCAGGCATCCGCGCTCCCGAAAAGGATATACCCCGTTGATCAGTGGCACCAGTTGTCCCTTTGATCGTCAAGTTCGCCAAGTGCTGTCTCTGGAGATTCCTCCAGGACAGTGTAGCGCAAGGGGAAGTTTGGACCACTTCCTGGTGCAAAGCAATCTCACGTTGGTGTGCCTTGTGCGTGAAGTGCTTGCAACGTGTCATCTCAGGAAGCAATTTCTATGTCAAGCATGGGTATCATGTTTGAATGGGGACCCTTTGGTGGACATCGTTTACGTGGGGATTTATGTCCACCTGCTCATTTGTAAGAGCATACACATGGACAAGATAGCCTGAGCATGCAAAGGGTGTCTTCTTTGCGCTTGCTGAGATGTCCGCTGCCACACCTTCAGAGTTCTTCTGCATGCGACATGCGTTTGATCACAATCAGCAGGCTGAAGATTGCAAGTGATATTCGTTGGCTTCAAAATGAGGCTCGCATCCGTTTGCTCGACCACAAGACGGGCTCATCATGTGGGACACGCCCATTTGGGGAATCTGCAACAGTGACAGTGACACATCAAGCAACTGAAAAAATGGCATTAAAAAATTATATAATCAGAAAGCAGCACTTGACATGACAGAGTGCAGCGAGCTGCTCAAAGAATGAATCTGGTTGTTTAAGGCAATTTCATATAATACTTCCACAACGGCTGTTTGTTGCCGTGAACAAGACTGGGCTGGAACCTCGAGGCTAGGTGGGATTGGTGACTCGATGCTCGGATTGCAGGCGTTGGCCCTGTACCACGGCATCTCGCGCGTCGGTGTGGGCACTGGCAACATGCTGGGGGTGCCTGTGATAGGCGGGTGAAGCGGCCTGTTCCGGGAAGGTCTCAGGCTAGCGTCTAGAGGTGTGTGTGTGTGTGTGTGTGTGTGCGTGTACTTCAACCGAAGTCCCCCGCCAAAAGACCCACTTACTCCGTTTTGGGGGCGGTCCAAATTTGCTTTGGAAACCAATGTGGCAGGTTCATTTGAGCTAAACTCTTGAATCAAGTGGAGATTGCAAGCCCCAACTCTTTGAAGTCAACAGAATTACCGCCGGGTCACCTCCAAACCACAACTTAGGGCTCACCTGATTGAACACGTATTACCGGGGTTCAATTTGTATGGCTGTTGGCCAGAGCATTTTAGCGCCTATGGTATGCCGCATACACACACACAGACACACAGACACACAGACACACAGACACACAGACACACAGACACACAGACACACAGACACACAGACACACAGACACACACACACAACACACACACACACACCAATGCGAGTGCTCTTTGAACGCATATTGGGAGGTAAGAAGGCAAACGTGTCATGTGCAGTTCCCCGGTTTGTACGTCAGTACCCGTTTGTCATTGCCGTTTGTTTGGGGACCATGGTCAAATCTTAAAAAGGATGTGCCTGACTCAGCAACTTTGACCACAGAGCAGGCCAGACGCATGTCTCTGGCCGCCCAAAGCCTCTGAACGTTTGAAACAGATTATTTCAACACGGCTTGCTGTATCCTTCTGCCTGCGAATGTGCCTTGGCCATTGTCAAGTTAGTCTCCGCATGTTGCTGTCAGATATGCAATGCTTCGGTTTGCTACAGGTTGTACGTTAGGGACGCAAATGTTCCCAGACAAGGTCATGCTACTTTGAGTCTAAGCAGACTTAGATTTCCCAGACTAAATGGGCCGACAGTAATGTGGACACTCTTTTCAAAGGGTGCTTTTATTAGCGTCCAATTCAGGTGGAAAAGACGGCAAGGCCAGCCTCGCTCGCCAATTGATGGTGCAAAGGCTTTAAGACATGAGCGACAGTCCGTTGTCGACAAGGCAGGCTTCCTCATATCAATCATTCCAGGGCCAAGTTGAGCAGTACCAAATGAACTGCTGACTGAGGATGGGATGTCTTTGTGAAATCCATGGATGAATGCTTCCAACTTGAGGTACATGTCAAGGACCCCTGTATAATAGATTTTGAACATCTTTGGCGCCAAGGTGAAGCAAGTTTCCGGGAGTGATGTGAAAGGGTGGCATGTGGCTATGGGGAACCATCTCACCAGTGGTTGGTGGACATGCCTCCCCACTTGAATAAAGTCCGCCAAAGTGTCCCCTCATTGAGATTCCGAACAATATGTGTCTTTCTCAATCCACTAAATGCCGTTTACGGCACCCTGTGTTTGAGATGAGAGGCCTGCTGACGGAGTCGCAGGGCTACGTCTTCGCACTGGTCCTTTCCGGCGGCTTGGCCGAAGTCTAAGCCCCGGTGCCACGGGTATCAGAGAAGGTTATCCAACGTTCTACCGGGAATGAATCACGTTTAGCAACGTCCTGTGGAAATATGACCATCCGTGGAGCCCTCCTTTCAAGCAAGCCTGAGAAGCATGGTAAATTATGAATGCTCAAGTTAGGTGTTTGCATGCTTGAAGGGAAGAGATGTCGCAGGCTGCGTGGTGATTGCTGGCACCGGCTTCCTTGTCATTTTGGAGGTGCTTCACAGACGGAAGCTGAGGAGAGATGCACAGGATGCTTGCCAAGAGAAATTGGGCACATCTCATGTCCGGTGGATTTGCAAGCGCATTTGAAGATGTTTGGACATTTCAAGAGCCAGACATGAAAGATGAAATGGAATACACAAATTGGTCTAGCAGTTGAAGCACATCTTGGCTTGGGGTGAGGAATGGCTGTCAAAACTTGAGGGATTCTGTCGGCCATTCCAAGGGTTCCTACGACTGTGGACCATGGCACATGTTCCACTTTGTTGGGTAAAGGTTGAATTGTGGCCTGATGTTTCGTCTAAGGACGCGGAAGTGTCAATCTGAGCTTAACTTCGTCCTGAAGCGCCAGGGTTTCTGCTCAGACTACGACTTGCATTTTCCTGCCCAAGGTCAAACTTCCCCCCTATGAGGAGGCAGGCCATGTATGTGTCGACGTTTGTATGCAACAAGCGTCGCACATGATGTTTCGACCACAAGCAACAACCATCTTCCTTTCTTGGGCGGAAGCTTTTCTACCACGGAGACATTTGAATTCAAGCAGATGTTGCAACAATGGCACATCTGGCTGGCTCAAGGCTTTGCAAGTAAGCAACATCGCACAGCAAGCTCAACGGCTCGCGTGCATGCTGCTCTGATCAGACACTTCTTGAGTGTTTGCCCTTTATTGACCTCTCCAGACGCGTCAGTCGCGGGACAGGCAAAAAACCAACGCGGCCGTCAGTTGTCAGTCGGCTAACCTCCCCCCTTCCCCCTGTGGCACATATGTGTTCCATGTAAGTGGGCCTTCGAAGTGAATGCAAGGGCTCGGAATAGGTCGGATTGCTTGACTTGACGAGTTGGGCGTGCTCTTGAGTGATTACTTGGCTTTGCCAGCACCGATATATCAAATGGGATGGTATGAAAGTTGTTGGCAGAAGCATCATTGCCTCATGTGCCCTCAGTGTAGCCAAGAAATGCTGCCTAATCTGTTTGATTTCACTGGTCCTTCCTTCTCGATACGAGTCATGAATGGGACTAGATCTCTGGGTGGTGTTCCCAGACAAAATCGTATTCGAGCCGCAATCAGTGTAACCACGATTTGCCCAGGTTCACGTCACAGTAACCGCCCATGCAGAATTGTTATGCTGGATAGTCAATCCGAGGTCTTGATTGCGGAACCTGCCAGCTGTGCCTTCTGGCTATGCTGATTGTCCTTGGCATGGTGCGCATGGAACTGGAAGGGGAGACTGGAGACGGCGACGTGTGAGAACGCCTGCTAGCCTTAGAATCATGAGAAACACTGACAGACAGAGGCTGGGGGCAGAGTATTAACACGTGCAACATGGCGGTAAGCATTGGCAATGACACCAGAGATCACCGGAGATCATCAAATGCAATGAGTGAATCCAGTCGCAAAATATGTCACTGATTAAACACTTGAGCAACGGTAGAGCAAAGCAGAGCAGGCAAGCACACGCCCAAAGGGCAAGCAAGAATACTTTAAGAAGAAGACGACGCAAAAAACGGAACAACCAAATCGGACAAATAGCAACAGGCAAAGCAACACAATGAGCAGCAGGCAGGCGAAGCTGTAAGGGGACTGGGGTGAGAGAACAGCAAACACATCCATAGCATGTGCTCCCCAAGCGCAACGTGATTGGACAAACCCAAACACGGCAGAGCGACATATTAACAACCCATTGTACATTGCTAAAAGAGAGAGAGAGAGAGAGAGAAGCACAGTCATAAACATGAGAAACGTTAACACTGGCCGACAAGGCAAAGGGAGGCAGTGGTGTGAAATTAGCATTCATCATGTATTTGCTCCCGTTTTATTGTACGCGTTGCGGCTTTATTGGGTCTTCATGTTTTGTCATTTCTTTTGAGTTGCTTTGTGTCATGGTGCTGTATCTTCGCCTGTATTGTTCATCGCTAAAGTTGCTAAAATATTATGTTTGCTTGCCCGGACGCTGCATAGCATTTCGTGATTAGTACATTTGGTTTGCTCATCTCACCTCGTGTTCGGTGGATTCCGGCAGGGTTCCGGGAGGTTCCAGGCAGGTTGCGGGCCGGCTCCCAGGGTTTAACCGATGCTGCCTGAGATACATTGTTGGTGTATTTTCTGCGCGTAGCCTTCCGTTGCTGCCCGACAAAAGAAGCTTTGCAGTGTTTGGAAGGGGTTCGGTCCCAATGGCCCTTTCTGAGTTCCTTGGCGTTGGAGGGCGGGCCAGTGAGACGGCTATTGTGCGCGAGGTCTCAACCGATGAGCTTCGGGCAGAGGAGTGGATGGTTCGCGGATCGTTCCACTGGTTGATGTTCCATGAGTGTCTCCACCGAAAGCCGTCCTTTGCCTTCCGTTTCTCGAATTGTGTGAGTGTTTTGTCAAGATTTCAAACGCCGACCTTGAACTTCCTGATTATCTCTGGTTCCTGAATGGTCCAGTTGCAACCAAGGTGGCTGCTCATGGTGTTCACAATATACCTGTGGGCAGAGTATGAACTGAGAAGGAGGAAGCGTTCTTGGCACACTCCTCGATATAAAGCGTTGTTAGAGGGCTTTGTGCCAGAAATCTCAGCTACGCATCACAGATGAATCTATCAAATGCATGCAAAGTTGATACAGGACGTGCTTGGTGTTCCTTTGAGTGTTTGTGCGTGTGTGTGTGTGTGTGCTTTTGAGCATATTCAGCCAATGTGGATCGGCTTCTTCGAGGATGCTGGGGTAGTGAAATTGCAGTTGCACGCTCAAGGCGTGTCCATGAAGCTTTACTTTACAGCCATCACCAAAGTCGGTCACGCATGCTGACAATGCCCGATCTTACATATTGTAAGACTCTTGCAGACCCTCATAAGCCTTCGCTTTGGCCCGTTCGGCAAGCATCAGTTGTGAGGCTGGCGGGTCAAAAAGAAGGCGTGTGACTAACATGTCACTCAAGCTATGTTTGGTTTCATACATCGAACTGCGCTGCTCATGTCATTTATTTATGCATGTGTGCAGGTCATTTGTTGCAAGATCAGCTGTTTTGCATGTGAGCTAATATGTCATGTGTACTTGTTGTTGCGTTGTGTGTACGTTGTATTGTTTTCTTGTCTTTGTCTTGTTTGCCGCGTTTTTCTATTGCCATTTTGCAATGCGGTCGTTTGGGGGGTTTCAACTCATTGCTCTTCAGCTGATATTGAACATGAATGTTTATAGGGAAGCCATAATTGAAAGGTCACAGCCATGCTACCCAATCATGGGCATTAAGATGCACACCCACATCTAAAAAACGTGTACATAGATGTGCTCTTAGTATATGCCTTATATATGCCTTCCAGGCCCGGCGCCTTCGCCTGGACCTCGAACGGGAGCGCTCCGAGGCGGAGATGCAGCGCGCCCAGGCGGAGCGAATGGAGCGTTCGTGGTGGGACATGCACGGTTTGGTTTGCGGAACTGAACCATACTGAACCCCTCCCATTTGATAAACGGAATTCCAAAGAAAGCGGGGAAGTGTAGAAAATGAGGGCATGAACATGAGAGGGTCAAGAGGCAAGCACTGACACCATGGGAATATGCCGTGACGGAAGATTCAAATATCGGGAACGTAAACCGTTGGGACCAGGGGCCATGACCTTTTGGTGGGGGCACGTGTGGAGGGTCTTTCTGCCAAAATTTGCCGCCGGGCTGGTCCTGATGAGACCTCTGAGTGATTTTGAAATTTACAAATCAACGGCTCGGAGAAGGCCCTGAGTCCCTAAGTGTTGACCGTGAGCGATCTGTGGGGGGGGGGAATGGGTCGAGCCACTCTGACCGACAGGCTGTACCATCGGGGAATCCTAGGTTTGCGCTTCATAGAAATCCCGAAGATTATGTTCGCAGTTCAGGACCACATCAAGGACGCTGGACATATCTGGAAATACTGAAAGCTTTTACCCTGCTACTGCTACCAGGCAGCAGTTGTGTCCTGTCCCATGCCTTTTAGCGAACCCAGCTGGCGTCTTCTATGAATCATTGAGTAGTTCCAAAGAACTATCACCGCAAGAAGAAGGCCACAACTCATTTCGTGATGCGCTTGTTTTTCAGGCCCTATCGTCAACCCTGTTCACCAGGGCTATATGTTATATTTGTCGTGTCTAACGAGGCTGACGCGGGCCTGCATTTTCCTGCTATGATGTGACCCTTTTTTCGCGCTATTCCAAGAACACATACAGTAAGTGTGACACTCGAATTTGTCAGGTGTTTGGGCGATGCATCTGATCACAGAGGTTCTTTTTTCAGGTGTGTGCAATTGAAAGATGATAATTTCAGAACGTTGCAGTTCAGAGAACAGTGTGGATGCCCAAACGTGTTCATTCAAAGAACAAGGGTGTCCAAAAGTGTGTGTGTGTGAGTGTGTGTGTGTGTGTGCGGCCAAGGGTGTGTGTCGCCTTTTTGTTTTGGTGTGTGTGTGCGGTGTCCAAGGATGTTTGTCCAAGGGTGTGTCCGCGGGTGTTCCAGGGTTGAGAGTTTCGAACAAGGGCAAGCTGGCCAGGTGGACAAGTTGCTGGAGGAGAAGGCTGCCACTCACGGCCTTTCATGTTTTCGTTGGGCTCAGGAGGGCGCGGCGTTCTTTGGAGCCCTTTGAAGGGGCTGCGTCACAAGGAAGCTCAAGGGAAGCCGTTTATTTCTTAAGGGTTCCCAAGTTTTCACACAAACCCAGCATGTGTGTTATAGTCAGGGCTTTTGTGTTACTGCATGTGGCGGTGCGGGGTGGTGGGGACAGTCATCAAGCCCTTCATAGCCCTTAATAGGGACTCTAGACAATGGTTGTCAGGGTTTGAATCAAGGAGGCAATGCCAACGATAATGGCCGCATTTTGATCATATCATATGTGATATCCGATAGATGTGTCAGTTGCGCAAGAGTTCTGTATACACCCTTACATCCAGGGTTTCACACAGCTGCTACTTGTCCGATATGCAAAGCTGGGTCATGACAGAACGCCATAGATCATATTTTGTGGCGCGCTGGACTGTGTATCAATTTACTGGACAGCTTTTACTGGATTGTGTGTGTATGAAGGATACACAATCGAGACAAGTTTCGCTGCACGATCATTGTTAGTTAATTTGACCGAAATTGGCGAGCCTGAAGCTGGGATGTGCAAAGTTGGCGTGTGATGACTTAGGCCCACCAGCCGCCTTGTGCGTTGCAAGCAAATTTTGCCGCCAGCAATCTGATGTTTGGCTGATTTCGGGGATCCGCTTGCACAAAGCAACGCCAGTCTCAGGGTTTGCGAATCGAAATGATATTGCCCAAGAGAGGTCCTGCCTTGCGCCGGGGGTTTAGAGAGTCTCTTGGCACATCTTGGCACCTCAGGATGTAGCGAATGTGGGTTCCAACCCACGCAATGTCTGCAGCGCAGTGTCCAAATTAGTTGTTGCTGACCTGGTCATGATGGTTTTGGCTCCTTGAAAGTTTGCAGACTGGTGCATCGACCCTGCCAAGTTCACAGAGCTTTTCTTCACGGTGCAGGTTCAGGGGGCCATGATTCATGATCGTCCTCCACGCAAGATCACTTAAACAAACATGGACCCCGAACCTGAAAGACCGAAGGCCCATGTTTCCCTTGTGGGGGACCCTGTTTCGATTTGTTTTGGGAGGAACTCCCCTTCGACCCCACCTTCAGAGAGGGCAGCTCGAAGGAAGCAGCGCTGACTCAGCTGCGCGCCAAGACGGGCCAGCTGGAGGAGGACTTCGGGGCTTCAGGTCGACCTGCAGAAGGAACCACCTTCTGTGGCTGCAGAAGGGAAACCAAGAGGAAAAGCAACCTGTTTGCGGTCCCCCTAATTCGGAGACAAACTCAGAAGAGAAGTCTGAGCTTGACAGCATAGTTAATCCAAGTCTTTTTTACCTATGAGTTCCGTGTAGTTACATTGCGAAATGTTTGGTGGGGTTGTTATAGAAGGCTTGGGGCAACTCAGGCAATAAAGACAGGGCCCTTCTGTGACTTTGAGTGGCTGCTGCAAAACGTGTTGTCGGAACCCAGCTGAAGAGAAAGTGGTTTGTAAAACAATATACCTGAAAGCATCTATGCAGAGGTGTTGGTGTCAATGTCAAGCAGAAGGCCCACTTTGACCAACCACAGGTCCAGCTCTGTTTGCTTGTTTGTAGGGCAGCGTGTTGTCCAATTCATCTCAGGAACGGAGAGCGTTGCCTCGTCCAAGGCGCACACATTGTGCCGAGAAAGGCGTCTGCAGCATTTCAGCCAGCTCTGCCTCTCGGAAGCCATGGCGCGCCGCAAGCTGTTGCTGATTGCCGGCATGTGCCTAGCGCTGAGGACCAATGTTGATGATTTGAATTGCACGAGCCACAAAAACCTCAGCACAGAAAGAAGCCCCTCAGGTTTCAATCCATCGGCTTGCTTAATTTACATGAAGCAGGAAGCATTCCAGGCTTGCCTGGCCTGCATTGTGCCATGAAATTGTTTGGTTGCGGTGCGAACAGCTGAACAAAAGATGCCACAATGCCACCCGTCAGCTGCTCATGACACGATAAACAATTTGTCGAGAGATGGCGCCGATGAGCCAGTTGGCCATTGGGTCTTGCAAACATGGGCTCATTGACTCATGACATGTTCGAATTACCCAGCCTTTGGTCGGAGGGAATTTGTGGGAATTGTCCTTTGATGCGAGGCGAGTCAGGGCCAAACGACGTTTGTAGCCAAATGTGCAGCGTTGAACAGCTTGTAACTCGGCACACTTTGTCGAAGTAGTTCGACAGGAATGCTTGGGTGACGTTTGCAAGCCGCGTGAGCCAAACTGGTAAGGTGGTGCGGCATGCTTTTGTTTGAGTAATTAGAGCGGAATTCAAGTCATGCTTGTGATGTCGTGTGACGCTGTTTGCCGAAGCAAACTCAGGAGCTCTTTGAACAATGCCTAGCAACGCTCGTCACTGGCTTTTGTTGGGGCAATTGGATATGCGGTTGCTGCCGTGCATCATTGGTTGTGTCCTGCCCTGTCTTTGCTGCCCTGCCAGCCTGCCTGTCCGACTTCCTGCCTGTTTGACTGACTGTCCGTGTCTGTCTGCATGAGTTTGCTTGTTTGTTTTGTTGTTTGTTTGGTTGTGTATTTGCTTACATTGCTTGGTTATTTGGGCTTGTTTGTTTGCCTGCCTGCCTGCCTGCCTGCCTGCCTGCCTGCCTGCCTGCCTGCCTATTTCTCCGTCCGCCTGTTCGTCCCTCCCTCCGCCCGTCCGTTTGTCTGCCTGCACTCACTTGCTTGTGTGTTCGTGTTTGTTTGCTTGCTTGCTTGCTTGCTTGCTTGCTTGCTTGCTTGCTTGCTTGATTCGCAAGTTCATGTGACAGAATCAGGGTACTAGGTTACCCCCAAAGTATGAGTCGTTTTCCTTTGGTTGCCCTTAAAAGGCAATCTCCAAATTTAAGGGAAGCCTCAGAAAGGATCCACAAACTACTTTTTAAGGTGGTTCCCCATGCACAGCCATGCTGCTCGTCTGCTTGTTTGCCTGTTCTGCAGGATATCGCTGGGCGTCAGCTTCGTGGGTCCAACTGCAGCTCCAGGCACACCGGTAGCCCAAACTGCGGGGTTGGGGCTGCAAATGTTAGTGAAACAACTGAATGTGTGTAATATGTTAAGCCAAAAGGTTGCTTACACTATCAAACGTGTTTAAACTTTTAAACCAGGGGCTGGCCCAACCCTGTGCGGTGTCGGGCAAGCAAATGACACTCGTTGCCTTTCACCCTCTGCCGATTTGTTGGACAAGCTTAGGGAGGTAAAGCAAGCTAGCCCATGCAGGCTGCTTTCTTGGGATTATTGAATTCACTTGAGACATGGCTTAGGATTTGTCAGAGCAACGCAGGCAGCGATGTACTGGCATGGACCATGCAAGTCCTTTTCCTCCAGCCCGAAATCCCCGTGTAGAGTAGGGGGCAGAAACTGTACACCGCTTCTGGGTGGTCCCCGAAAGGCTCCAGACTAGTCTAGAGTATTTCAGCAGTTCATTTGCGGGTAGACCGACTGCAGAACACGGGTCCATCAATGCTTGGCGTTTTACGGTTGTACTGAACCGTGTTGAACTCGAGGGTTTCTTGGTGAATCAGGCCACTTCCTAGAGTATCAACCGCCTCTTGATCTGAGCCTTCACATCTCGCCTTCAATGCAAGCCAGGCAGTGCATTTCCGTTTGGACCCGAATCAAAGCTCAATGGCTTTTTAGGATGAGTCGACGTCGACAATGATGGTTCCCAACCTTTAGCAATGGACAAATGTTCCTTATGCGCGTTTACCGTTACCCCTCTTTGTCTCTCTCTCTCTCTCTCTCTCTCTGTCTCTCTCTCTCTCTCTCTCTCTCTCTCTCGCTCTCTTTCTTCAATTTTGCATGTCACCTTTTGGGTGCCAATCATTATACATATATATATATATATATATGTACTTGTGGATTGAGGTGATGTTCACGGGGGAAACATTGGCAACCCTGTGATGTAGGTGGAATTGAAGCTTTTCATTTATTACAGGCCGCAGGTGTCGGAGTGAGTGTGACATCGCATGGGTAGAAATAGCTACACTTTGTGAAGCTGTCAAGTATAGGCCAACACGACTTGCTTATTGAGCAAACAGGCTGGTGTGAGGAGATGGGTTTCCACAGGGTTCATGGCTGGCTGCAAGGTCCAGGTTGAATCTTGAGTCAAAGTCGTGAAAATGCTCGCGCTCCAGTTCCAACCACTGAGAGTCACCACTGTGTGAAGGAGCCCTCAGCCGGGTGGCACTCCACGCGCGGGGCGGTGAAGGCAGGGAGGATGCTGATTTGAACGGTCACTCGTTCTGACACGGTTGTCCGAATTGTTTGAAGTGTCTGGATTCACACATTTCATCAGGACGGATCTCAAGAGCTCCTCAAGAGGCTTTATTGCTCTCCCGACATGCCAAGCTGGACACACGCGTTTATGTTTGCTCCTGAGACCCTTCTGAGATTTCCGCTTTGGGCCAAGGGAACTTGCGTTCGGTCCGCGGGTCCAGAAGCTGAGAAGACCCACGCACTCAGGTTGGATACGTCCAGTTCCCATTGAAATCCCATTGAGCCTCTATGATCTATCAGTTAGCTGGCGCAATTCGGGTGCAAGCTTCCTTCAGAAATATGTGTGACCGTTGGTCAACTTCACTGTGTCTAAAAGCCTGGCCGGTTACTGCGCATGGTTCGCACATTCATCCAAGAACCTTTTAGTGGTTATCGAGGCTTCACTCAGGACATCGCACCTTATGAGGGCAACCTGAAAACCCAGAGGATATTACTGTATATCGTGTAGCAGTCAACAACGTTTGTTGACCTCATGCAGCAGTAAGCATGTCAGGCCTCACTGAGACTCACTCAGAGTCGGTGCCATGCTGCCATTCTTTGCGAGTGTTTGTGAGAAGTTTCGATCATGCTTGACGCTGCATTGAGCCAAAGCGTGCAATCTTTTGTGGCGGATATGTATTGTTGCGGATGACTGTGATGTGGTGACACGATGTGCGATGACAACTACGTACTCTACCTTGCAGGCGTGGTGCGTACTTGGACTGTTACAATTGTAGTTGCTACGCTAAGCAGGGAAATGAGTTCTGCCCAACTTGGGACGACCCTAAGAAATGTATTCCCTTTTGCAGGTCCTAAGGCATTCCAGAGGTTTCTGCTTTGATCCTCGTCCCAATTGGTGTCGCAGTCCTTTGCCGGCACTAAACATTGTCAACATCATGATGTTCTACAGAAGGTCTTGAATGAAATCGATCAGGGCATGTGTCCATGTTTGAAACTCAACTGAGTTGACATTGTCTTGGAATCCCCCCAAAAAAATAATAACAAATCAGAACAACAAAAGGCAGCCAGGTACACGGTAAACGAGGCGGGGAGGCGAAAAATAGTATGTCCCAATGCGGCAATGCGGTGCATTCATGAGAAGGAATGAAATGTATTCAGCTTTAGAACCCACTTGCTGTTGTCCATCATTTCCCTGTAAGGCACAGGGCCAAACCAGTGACAATATTATATTTGATGCTTCGATCCAGCAAGTTTGATGAGTCAACCATCGGGGCTTTTAATGAAGCGCTCTTGTGCCTCTTGAGGGGCTCTCACCATTCACGAACTTGGCTGTAGTTTGAGTTGATTTGTTTCGGTTGATTTGCTGGCCTCTGGTTGGACTTGTTTCCATGTGGAACGATGCCGGGGGAGCGGGCGGTGCGCCGCAGGCGAGCTGGTGGAGCACTTGCTGAAGCCCGACGTCCTGCTGCTGGATGTGCGGACTGTCGAGGAGCCGGCCGCCCAGCGGGGTCCGAGCTAATGTTTGGAGTCTTTCTTGCGGGGGTGGGTTTAAAGTTCTTTTGGATGGCCGAGTTGCGGAATCCAAATGTTTGGACGAGAAGACCAGAACCAGGAGGTGAAGGGATTGAACACATCAGAAATAAACAGATAAGCTGGCAGAAAGGTGGCAGGAATGCATCAAGGGGCCCTGCCTCGACCTTGAAATTTGCCAACGATCCTTTTCGTTGGGCCTCTCTTTGTGAGGCCCAGGTGCGGCCTTTCTGTTTCATCTGTATTTGATGTTCTTGGCGAACTCATATCCAGAGCTGACGGACCAGGAACCAAATGTTCAAAATCACAGCCACAGCCCTTCAATGCTCTTGTCAAAAAGTGCACTTGCCCAAGAAACTGCTGAGACGGTTGGCAAACGCATTTGTGAACAAACCCGAAAATGCGTGCATAGGTCGCTGGAAAGGTTGCTGTCACACTGTCATGTTGTGTTCTGGCTTGTGTGTTTGCATGGACAAGTTGGATTATAGGTGCCAAGCATTGACGTGTCATCGTGTCAACGGGGCAACCCATGCTGCACGCGCCGTGCGAAGGTACGAAGATGGGCATGTTGATGGAAGCGCCAACATCCCGCATACCCAGCAACTTGGCTGTTGAATCCGAATTGTTTCGGCCCCAGAGACCCAGACCTGCCGACATACATAAATAAATAAATATATATAGACATATATGTATATATGCACCCGCCCGATGGATCTACCTTTTTGCTGTTTGAAGGCTATTTTGGAGATGGACTGCAGTTGTTTTATTTGGAACGCCCCATGCGAATTGACCTGCATCAGCTCATCCTAAGCAAGGAATTCCTCGTCAAGATCTAATTTGGAATAACAATTCCAAATTTGTGTTTTTCATTGAAAAGGACATTATATTTGAATCATCTTCAAAATTAGAAGTTCTGCTAGAATTATGTCCTTACTAGATTCCAGTTAATTCTAAATAGAAAGTGGAGAAACAATATCCCGCGAAAGGAAGTTCTCTTTAAAATATATCTTGAAGTAAGATTCCGAATTAACAATGCTCTTCAAAATGGACATCCTATTCAAATCATCTTAAGTCTAGACATTATATTTGGTGGCTTTTAAGTTCTATTTAAGCTCTATTCGGACAAGTGAACAAAAATCATCACGAAAAAAGACATCCTTTTGAACATCTAATTTGAAATAAGATTGTTTGTTTTGTTGAAAAACACTATGTAAATTATCCTTAAACCTATGAATTCTAGTAGAATGGTGTCCTTATTAAATTATCATGAAACTATGCCAAACAATCAACCCGATTGAACATCTAGTTTCAATCAAGAAATTTGAATAAACAATTTGTTCGACAAGACCATTCTATTTGAGTTCTCTTTAAACTAGAAACTGTACTAGGGTTTGTTCCTCATTTCTAATTAGACAATTGAACACACACACACAATCCTAGAAACACATCCCCATTTGAAATCATATTACAAATCTATTTTGAGATAAGAATTTGTTTTTTTTTTACAGATAGGGGCTCTAACTTTGATAAAGATGGGACTGTGATTTGCGAGATTGACGGCAGGGTGCTAGGGGGCATGCAGTTTGGGGTGCTGGTGCAGGTGCTGTTTGAGATAGTGGTAACGGTGTGGGCACATTTTTGCGAGATCGACGGCTGGGTGCTTGGGGGCATGAAGCAGGTCAAGAAGGAGTACCTGTGACCTCGAAGCGTAAGATTATAAGTGACGGTTAGGGAACGCCCAAATATCAAATATGAGCTGAACACAAGCAGAGTTGGTGGGGGAGGGCGGCAACCCCCCATCACCCTTTTATGGCATGGAGTCGGGCATGTCATGTAAGCTTATATGGCAGGCAGCTGTCTTTTTGACAGTTGCACAGCATGTGATGGTCAGGTGGAATCGCCGAGCGCCATCGCATGGCATGTTTTGACGGAAAAGCAGTTGTTGCAAAAGGGTGTCGGCAGAGCCAGGCAAGTCATGTAAGCTTACATGGCTGGCAGCCCTCTTTTTGACAGTTGCGGTGCTAGCGATCCTCCATCTGCGGATTGCCAATTGTGCGCTTCGGCTTTATTTTGTGGGTCTTCTGTGCGTGCCGGGGTTGCAAAAAGCAGGGGCAGGCAGCCAGGAGCGGGCGCAGCCCGCCCTTGCTTCCTTCCACTGGCTGAAAACGCGACGGCGGGTTTTCCTGGTCCGGTTTGTCGAGAGAGCCAACATCGCTAAATTGATTTGTTCAAGGTTTTAAAGAAGTGTCTTCTTGTTCAAGAATGTTTTTCGACAGTTTGTAATCTTTAAGGCATGTGTTCTGCTTGCGCCCATGTGCCTTTTATGTCGAGCGCTGAAGAAACATACTTGGTAAGCTGAGGTTTGGTCAGAAGATGCGAAAACAGCAGCTATGTTGGAGCCAATGGCCCACAAGGGAAAACGTAAACAATAAGTTTCTGGAGCCAATAACCCAAAAGTAAAAAAAAGTACGAAAGCAAAACAAATCAGCACATGGAAGTAAAATGCACTGACCATAGACTATAATGGTTTATGTGTTTGCTTATGTTTTAACCTCTGGTTTTTACTGTTTTACTTTTTACTCTGCTTTTTTACTTCATTACTTTTGTTGTTGTTTACTTTTGTACTTTTGAGTCATCGGCTCCAGAATTTTGCATATCTGTTTTTGTACTTGTGGGTCATTAGCTCCATTTTATTATTATCACTATTATTCTTAGCTGTTGCTTTGCATCTTCTAGCCAAACTTCAGAGAAGAAATGCGACAGAGGAATGTCCAAACCGACTGGATTCAAGATTCCCTCGAGCAGTTTGGCCTCAAGCTTTCAGATCGTCGTTGGACATGTGCCTTTTTCGCTGCCTTCCCCAAAGCCCCCAACAAGGCAGAACACGCTGCACATACCAGCGCATTCTGAAGGAAGGTAGATCCATCGGGGGGTACCATGTACATGTATTCTGTATATTTGCCGATGGTCATTTGAGAAGGACGGTAGTGGGTTGCTGTGCAAGCTGACACTGTTCCTGTTCAGTTTCAGGTACTCTCTGGGCATGGGCTCGCAAGTGAGTATTTCGAGGCGGTCGATGCCCTTTCGACGTTTTTCCTTGTCATCCGCGAGATGGTTCCCTAGTTCAATAGGAATTTTGATAGGGAACCTCCTCGCCCCAGTGGCTGGTGGACATCAATCCCGTCCTAAATGATGTCTCCAAAAGCGTCCTTCCTTAAGATTCACACCAGTTTTTGGACAGGCCCAGTTCTTGGGGGCTGATGAAGTTGGCAGAACAAAGCATTGAGGAGCAAACATTGAAGCCTGTTGAGTGAGCAGCAGACCTCATGAGAATCCCAGAAATCGGGCTGATGAATAGTAGGGCCTCCAAAGAAAGTGTCTGGATGCCCAAAAGAAACAATGCATATCATCGCCCAACTTTGCTGTCCCGTAGCTGCCCCGAGAAGTGAAGGACCCCCCTATACTATATACAATGGACGCCCCTGTTAATTGAGCTGTCTTGTCAGCAACCATTGGTTTTGTTGAATCCGGGGCTCACAGAATTTTGTCACATTTGCATTCGATTTTGTCCAGGATAGAGCAGCGCGCCAGCGATCTGCCCAAAGACAAGGAGACACCCGTGGTGGTATTCTGCGCCAAAGGCAAGTGGCGATGAAAGGGGGGAGAGACGGACGGGTGGCGAAAAAAACAAATTTCAAAACAGCGATTGCAGGTTGTTTCTTAGCCCATCTTGGTTGATTCTCCCTAAAGGGAAATCCCGATGGGATGGACAGTTTTCACATTTGTTCCAGACCCAAGTGGCGACCAAGACCAGGCCCCCTTTCAAATGCTTGGTTTCCCGCGGGCCGCTTTTAAAACAGCCAAAGAGTCATGGATTTCATGCGCATCTCCATTTGAGAATTCAATCGACGTTTAGACTTTGTTCTGGAGCCAAGCTTGTTCTTAGTTTTCCAAGTATATACAGTTGACCAGATCTGCCATGGTCCAAGCTCAACGTGGGTCGTAGCTTTGGAATCCTTCTGGTCGAAAAACCCTAAAGGTTCATGACCCCAGCAATCCCAAGGGCGCCGAGTTTGCATCAGGCATCCGCGCAGCAATGGCCCAAAGCGTGCTTGAGAAGCTCGGGTACACCAACGTGGTGAACGGCATGACGTGGCTGGCCGTCCAGGAGACGATGCAACAACTGTGAGGCCAGAAATGGGCAGGGGGTGTGTGGTTTTTGAGGGTACCCTTATTACTAGGGTTGTGTGAGAGGAAAACCAAAAGGAAACCACCTAGTTTTTGGCTTCCCCTAATTTGAGACAGACTCAAATCGCATGTTCAACGGGTGCGTATGTGTGTGTGTGTGTATTTTCCTAGGTCAAGTTTGGGCATGGTTTAGTTCAGAAAAAACTTGCTGGGGAAGGAACAAGTCACACGTTCCTGCCTCATTGTCTTTTCGGATACTGGCTTCATGTGGCAGCGCATGAGATTTGGCAAGTGGAGAACAAATCCCAATTTGCTTTGCTTTGGGGCGCAGAGAGTTAGGAAAGTAGAGAACCAGTGTAGAGAAGGACAAGTCATTTCCTCTATCTTTGTTGCTTCATTCTAAGGTTTGACAGAAAGGCTTCCAAATGCCATTCTTTCTGTGCGGTTTATCACCAGCCAGCCTGGGGTGTCACCTTTCGTCCTGTTTGTCCCTTGCACAGGTCAGAGCCGCGCACCGTGAGAAGGGCGCGAAGCCACGAGCGAGGTTTCCCAATGTCCGCGAGGCATGTGGAGGCGGAAAAAGAGGCGAATCATCATCCAGAGTGCAAGGGTCCTCGTCGGCATGTTCCAGAGCAGATTTGAGGTTAGCTGGATGTGTTGCAGTGCTTGTTTCTACGGAAGCAATGCTGGCCTCCAGCAGGCGGAAAGAGAAACTGCCGCGCCCTGCCAGCCCCCTGAATGAAGAGCAAGAATGATGGCAGCTCGCATTGGCATGAGATTTGGATCTTTAGCCCATCCTTGAAGCTGGAGTTGTGTTTCTGGAGTGGTCGGAGCAGTTTTATGGGACCAAACCATGGGCTCTTGGTGAAAGGTCGGGGCAGTTGAAAGGAGCTCACCAGCAACGACTTCATCACCCACCTCGCAGAGCAGCAGGCGCCGCATGGACCTGGCTCGTGCGGCTCAATTAGTTGTTTGTGTTCTTTTGTTTCCTATGAATTTCATTGTTTTTCAAAGTGGTTGGTGGACATGAACCCCCTCCTAAATGATGTCCACCAAAGGGGCTACAAATAACATTCAAATGTTTCCTTGCAAATGTAGGAGTGCTTTTTGCTAGTGGAAGGAGGGTTGGGATCGTTGGGATCATCGGGTCTTTGTTGCCATGCTGCTTTGGACATAGTCCTTGCCTTCGCTGACCCCCGTGCAGCTCAGATCTGGTCGGGCCCAGGAGGGCCACGCATTGGCACAGGCGTTGCGGGAAGTGGAGATGAAGAAGCATCATTTGCAGGCACGTGTGAAGGGATGACGTTTGGAAGCAACGATGCGGGGTCGAAAGCATGGAGGTTCATGTTTTGGCAAACTCAGGTGCCAGTGGTTTCTATTCAATTCTGTGCACTGCCAAGTTTGGCCACTGTTGTGGGTTGCAAACATATCCAGGCTGATGCGGCTCCTGGAATGACATTGGTCTGGGGAATGATCTGTTCCGAGAAAATTAAGTCCTCAATAGTGAAATTATTTAGTGCTGGGTATTTGAGACCATGCAGAACTTCCTTGACACTGAACAATGATAGCCGCGCATTGCTTCAATCAAGAGGTGCAAGATGTGAACCAGTCGCTGGCCGAAGTGCAGAAGATGCTCCAGATGAGCTATGCGCAAGAGAAGGCACGCATTGGAATCCAGCCTAAAGAATACGGTGGACAAATAGCGAAGCTTTTGAAACCGAGCTTAGGTGGCTGAACCAGACTCAAGCAGAGGTAGGTGGCTCTGAATTTCAATAGAGAACAATCCCACCCACAAGATGCTAGCGAAGGGCCCGCAAGCAAAAAGTCAAATCCGTATAGAGTCGCCACCTTGCTCACAGTCTTTTCAGAGCTCAGTCGACTTGCGGTGGCGTTGATTTTGCTTCGAACGGAAACCAGCAAGCGTCAACAGAATGAGTTTATCATGCATTGAGCATTCCATGCAAGGGCGCAAATGTATCCATATCAGGTAGAAAGCAGCCCAGCGTTCCTCCAAGCAACAACACGTTTGGATCGCTGGAGATGCAGGAGTGCATCCCGGCAAGTATTCCTCATTGGAGATTGGCACCGCGCGTGTTAGGCATCTCCGTTGGGGGTGGCTTAACAAGTATCAAGCTGAAGCCGGCCATGAACATGAACTGCGCTTTCTGAACTATTTCGTGTTGAATCGTAGGCGTCAGCAAAGAGGTGGGCTTCGTTCCACTTCACTGACAGCGAGAATTGGCTTTGGTAGAGCTTGATTGATACAGTGACTGGGTCTGAGGTTTCGAGCGGGCTTTAGGAATGGGGTAAAACCAGGGGCACATTTTTGGGAATGTCTACAGAGCACCAACAAATACAACCCATTTGGAAGGGTTAGGAGCTCGTTGGTTCAAATGTCCCTTTGGCTTTAGCGGCATCCAAGAGCGTTGCCCATTCACTGGAGTCCCTTTTGTTTTCCCTTGCCTTGAAATTTGCTAAAACCTACCTGCAAAGGGCCAACTGTTTGAAGGGGCAATTCAACGATCCTGATTCACATGCCTTTCCACTGAACATGTTCGGAGGTGCTGAAAGATCGCATCCGCGAGCTGGAATCCAGTCAAGGGCGGACTCATGTGGCAGGTGCGGTCGCGGGATGTTTGTGTTTGCCATGTCACCAAACCCCCCTGTCAGAATGGTGTGCTGTGTAAGGCCACGTTTCCCAGAAAGCCCATGCTTTTGACACAGCTGCGCATGTTGATGTTCTGGCTTTGTTTTCCGGACATGCGCTTCGCCTGGAAGAAGGCCAGGCTTCTCTGACTAAGTGTTTCGGTTGTAAACTTGCCAATGACACAAACTATCGATTTCCCTTCAAGGAAGCGTCAATGAGGTGGATTGTTCTCATTTTCCGGACCCAACGCAACATAGAGCACACTTCAGCTAAGGTTGCACTTTCCTGATGATTGGGTATTAGTCGCGGTCAAAAGCGGGTGTTCCCGAGTGTGTTCATGATGACGAGCCTGCCGACCAGGGCGACTATTGTGATGGCAGCAACGATGATATGTGATTACGCTGATGATGATCATGATCATGGTGGTGGTGGTGGTGGTGGTGGTGGTGGTGGTGGTGGTGGTGGTGGTGGTGGTGGTGGTGGTGGTGGTGGTGGTGATGGTGATGGTGATGGTGATGGTGATGGTGATGGTGATGGTGATTGTGACGATGATGGTGATGATGGTGATTATGGTAATAAAAGTAAGGAGGAGGAGGAGGAGGAGGAGGAGCTGTTTGTTTCTATGACTTGGAATGTCAACTTTAATGCATCAACAAAAACACTTGCGTTCCTTCGCATGCAGCAAGAACAACTCACAGGTAATAATAAGCACCTGCCACGCAATAGCATCCTTCAAGTCTTATTAAACACGCGAGGTACAATGTGGGGCGAGCATTTGGCCGACAAGACGGTAATTGCTTTGCCCTGGTTGTCCAATGATTCGGCACGTGATGTTTCACCAGAGCAAGGTGGCCTAGAGGGTCCCAATCCTGGGCATCGTTACCCTTCCAAGAGACTCAGGGAACATTGGCGTTGCTGAGCACCTCCGAAGTATCAGGTGACTACCTGAAGCACGTGGTCCTGAAGTACATCGAGTACTGCCAGAAGGGCGACATGAAGTCTCAGTCCTTTGCCCAGATATTGCACACGTTCTGATTGACATGTGAAAGCACCTGGTAATTTGACGTTGCTGGTCCAATGTGCTTTGCCCCCAGGAGCATGACTCGAGTGTTGCTTTCCATTCAAGTTGCCCAAAGCAA